TTCATTGAGTAGTGAAGGAGGATATGCAGACTGGTGTGACTGAAGATGATGCTGTTGAATTATAATTACTTCTTATTTTATTTGTATATAAGTAATGTGGAAGCTATAGCTGATGTTAATCAATATACTGCTGAGTGTGGTAATTCATAACTATGTGTAACGATGCACAAATATGTAGGCTATCATTGGTTTTCTCTGATATGGACCCTGCTGACTGCCAGTCAGCAAAAAAGATCACATTTACTCTGGCCTATGTTTAGCTGTTACATCAGCTTTGCATCGGCAAAATGTTGAATTGTGTTGTAATAAAAACCTGGAGCAGAAAATAAGAACATCGGCACAAAACGTGGTATCAGCCAGATGGTGTTTTAAACTTGGTGAAGCTTTTATTTGGATTATTTAAATGGATAATACTCAAGATTTTACAGTACATTGAAGCACAACAACACTGATGAAAATGATGCACAACAGTCAATAAAGCAATTAGGAAAAATGACATCAAATTAAATGCAAAATTAAAATATAGTTATTAATAATTAAAAATAAGAGTCGGTGCTGTTCACAGAATCACACGTGTTAACAATTAAAGCTAAAAGGTGAGTTTTTAGTTTCCATTTGAAATCTGTTACTCTGGAGTTTCTGCGCTGTGACCTCTGAAACACGGAGTGAAAGCTGTGACCCTACTGTAGTTTAAATAGATCACATAGATCTGTTCTACATGGACATGCTCATATTAAAAAATATGGTCTTTATTATTCCTGAATAATGCTGCCATCCAGTGGGGTTGATCCTCAAACCCTCTCTCGCTCATGCAGATGTGTGAACATCCCGCATTTATGATTGTGCGTGTTGTTGTTGTTAAGGTGGAGGAGGCTGACCACATCTACCTGCTCATGAAGGAGGACTACCGGATCTCTAGGAATGTGCGACTGGCGTGGTTTCTTAGTAAACTTAACCAAATCATCTGTCCGGCTTCAAAGCCTGAAGTGGTGAGTTTCCTCTTCTGTCCTCATGATGGCGCAGCAGCACCAAGATTGGCACCTTTCTATTATTATTCTTGTATGTGCCACCGATGATTAGATGGTGGCTGTGACAAATTAAAGGAAAAATACTTGATGTGTGAGTTATGGGAGATGATTCTCGCTCTGTTGAGCTTTAGGAGGAAATGTGTGAGAGCTTCTCTAACATTGTAGCTGCTGTTCTGATTGGTCAATAAAAGCTACTGCAGATCATATTTCCTCCCACTTCCTGTTGTAGCTGCTCTCTGAAAATGAACTGGACCTGCTTAGCATCTTACCTAAAGGATGGCAGCCAGATGTCTCCCCAACTTCACACCCATGCATACTGATGCCTTCCACCCGGGCCACCTTCCTGGCCCGGAGGTACCGCTTCATCATCGAGCTGGACCTCAGTCCCTCCACGGGGATTGTGGTGAGTCTTAAATGTCTCCTGAATGAGTTCAAACAATATTAAAAAGTGCTTAGTGCAAGAACAGATGTGATATTTAAGTTTGTTATGATTATTTGCTGTGTAAATTATTCATTGTGATCAATCCATTTGTCTGCTTGTCTTATATCAAGTGCATCACGTCTCTTTCTGGCTCCTGAGTGTCTCAGTGTGTTTCCATTTGTAGTCAGGAAGGCTTTTAATTTATTCATACGCTGTTAGAAGAGCAAAAATATTTACATTTTGTGAATGAATTTTGCAAATGGTAAATATTTGATCACCTAAA